ATTCGTCTCTTCCCTTCAAGTTCCGGATCTTTTTTTTCTTTTTATTGATTGTTCGCAAATCACATCGTCAATATTAATCGTAGTCCTTCATTGTCTCTCATTGAATAGAATCAATAGTGGGGGAAGGAGGGAAAAAATGTTCAAACTACTTTTCGAAAATTTGCCGACTGAATATCCAATCTCACGCGATAGATTCCTGTCGGGAACTTTTGACCGTTTGATTTCTCATGAGACACATGGCGCGAAATTTCACCGCGCGACGACGCCAAGAGAGTGCGGGTTCCTAGTATTCCTCAACGACGGTGACATATGCTCTTCGCTCGTCCTTGCCTTCCAAGCGCGTGGATGTCAGCCGGCTATCATGCACTAACAGACGCGAGCGAAGTGGGACGCGTCCGTGAGCGACGACCGCGATCGACTGAGCCGCGGCTCGGCGGTCTCGACACCGTAGCGACGATTACGTCGCGAAACACAAATCACGCGTACTTTCGCTAAAAAAAGGCACCATTGACGGTAGGCACAGTCAGTATGTACAGCCGAGACACGGCAGCTTACAACGATTTAAGTTGTTATCGATCAAGAGATACTGACTGAGGTATCTTTGCTCATAGGCCGGTATTTGTAGTCGGCTTTGATTTTCCAACTGTCTAAGTGTGGTATCTGAAAATTCGAATTTAACTGCATGATATCTTAAGACTGTACTTAAAACGATCTTAAATATAAGAGTCAGCGAATACCAGCCTAAAATTCAGCCGATCGGAATGAAACGGATTAAAATTAATTATTCGACTGGTCGAATTCGAATCTCTAATTCGTAATCCTTATAGCGCCTTTCATCGGCTTTGAACTGATCTAAGTTAATGACGTCACATGCTCCACCAATAATAGAGTATGCTGTATCATTGATCATCCAGTCCAAATCAGTTTGAATCTGGGCTACGATCAAGAACGTTATTAGTTCCCACGATACGTAGCGTAATATGATTCTCCACATTTGCGGCCGTATTATGTCTGTGACGTCATTGTTAGAAATTCTTTTTTTTTTTGTTTTATATTTCATATATTAAAAGGTTAAACAGATTTTATAGACATAAAACATAAATTCGTTTTATGTGTACACCGTACGATGATATAGAGTAGTCAGTCATATTAAGTATTTCTTCTTTTTACTATTCTGTATTAATAAATACATGATTTAATATCTGCGTGTGTCAACGTGTCCTATTATACTAACAGAAACGATAGTAGTTGGTGAAAAGAGGGATTTTACTATCACATAAAGAAGTTCCGAAATGTACGTTGAATTATGTATCGTTGAAGGGCTAAAATCGAGTAGTGTATCGCTTATCTTTTGGAAACATGGAATGTTGATTGTTGTGATGTCGGGAGCATGGAAAAATTGTTATCAAAGACAAACCCGAAAAATCTTGTTAAGTAAGATAACAAGATATTACGGGAATTAAGCAGTAAAAGACTGTATTATTGATACAAACACGTACAACTTGATATCATATATTTATTATTCAAAAAGTTAGAAGCCAACGATTATTTTGCATCGGACTCCTCGTTGTTCGTCAGTCGTTTGAAAAGTACAAGTTATATATTGTTACTCAATAACAATACAGTCCTCATTGCTTAATTTCGAAGATGTTTAATATTAATCTTATTTAACAATTTTTTATCAAATAAAATGTAATAAAATTTATTTTTTTTTTAATTACAATTTCTCTTATATTTCCGATATTTCTCTATTATACGTCACTCGTTTCCGCCTTAGTTATAGCTCTTCTAGAATTTGTACATCTCTCGGAACTTCAACTGCTAAAAGTAGTCAAAATTTAACATCTTTTTTTGCAGCTATTTATTAGTATATATGAATCGAAATGAGAATCCTGGTGGACAAAATTTTTTTTACGAAAAAGTACAGAAAAACTACATAGATTAAGATTCTTTGTTTTTCGTAAATATTCGTAGTGAGACGTAAAGTGAGATTCGTTTATCTTAGAAATTATCAGTTTTTTGTAGATATCCGTACACAAGATAGGAAAAAATGAAAACTTATGATACGGCGTCAGAAGATGTATACGGAAGGATTTCTTGATTTTTCATACAAATATCTACGAAAAACTAAAAATTTCTAAGATCTTGTTTCAACCTATATATAGTTTTTCGTAAAAATTTTTCCGCCAAGGAGTTTTAGATATCTTCACTAATTTAATTATTATCAATTATCTGCGTGATGGTATGCAAAAAAAAATGACTTTGTTGTAGATTGCAAGAAGAAATTTTCTCATTTCTGATATTAATTCAAAATAGTTGCGTTAACAAAATCGAAACTGTAAGGATTGCTTTACCGTCGAACAGTTTTGATGCTCAAATGCGAATCTGTAGAATAAAAAAATGATAACCTCGCCGAATATGGCAAATGATAAATAATTCTCTTCTTGCAACATCGATATAATTTTTTTTTATAACAAATCTCTTTATTTAAACATAAATTAAACTGCGTCAATCAAGTTAGTTTCTTTTTACGTTATCTTCTAAATTTTAACTGTACTGTTAATATTTTAATATGTTAATATCAATTTGAAAAAGAATTGCAATAATCATTTTGAATGAACGTTTTCTTTATTAATATTATTATAAATGTACAATATACAATTACACTTAGTTCGATTCACGATACATCAATAAACGAATGTTATCCTTTCACTTTATTCCTTCTGTATAATAAGATAATGAGAATTACATACTGCAACAAAATTTAAAAGCTGACAATTATGCTTAATTTGCAAACGCGAAATTTTTTTATGTTACAACATGCATTATCGAAGTGGAATGTAATCTTTGATGTATAAAACTGCTACGTATAGCGTGTCCAATATTGCAATTACCAAATTCGCGTAAGCTTTTCGTGTTTCATTTGTTCAATTACGAACAAATTTTAGTTACAACCTTGTGAGCATTTCTGTATTTTTGTATAAAATATATCTATATAAATTTATATAAATTTATATATAAATTTATATGTCTATATCTGTGTTCAAAACTTGCACTAAGTGCAAATTATTGCACTGTGAAAAAAAGTAGAATCGTTATCTACAACTTATATACACGCATTTTTTTTTCTCAAGCGATCAATATTTGTTTTAATATATTGATGAAATATTAAAATTGTCCATAAAATTTGTTCCGCGTCATTGACATATGTATATAAAGACAATACGATTATTACAGAAATAATTATTAATGAATATCGAACATGAGTAACCTTTATCGACAATAAATAATGATCGCCAGAGTGCTGTTTCTTGTTCCACGAAGAAAAAATTGACTATACAGAGTAAACAATTAGGCGAGTAATGATCAGATGCATATATTTATATTTTCACATTATATTTTTATACAGAATATATGAATAGAGAAAACAAAAAAAAAAAGGAAAACGACATAAAATACCAAATGCGAATGGAGATAAATAATTTATGTGTATTCACAGGTACATTATCGATCCTTAAATATAAAAATTGTCAGCTCTTAACGTGGAACAAGATCAGTAACAAAAGTTACATAGAAAGAACTTCAATACAGTCTGTAATCGATAAAAGATAGTTCATCACAGTTTATGTTGTCTTCCTTCGCCAAAGAGCAATAGACAAGCTCTGTCGACTATAAACGCGAAGACAAAGTCCGCGACTAGTATTTCAACCAATGTCGTACGGAACTGCAACACGCAAGTATTGTAAATACATATGTGGCAAATAGATTCCACGGCAAATAAATTGTATTGTATCAAGTTCAGTTATGTATTTGCGCGTAAAACTTACTTGGCTTGGAAAGTCTACAATCTCGAACTGCATCGCGAAATTCGGCAAGAATCCACAAGCTAGTAATAAAATAACGGCAAAATTGCCCACGAGACTGAACAAGAGAGTTCTATTTTGTGTTAAACTTTCCATGAATGGCTTGCCCTGACAGAACGTAATATAATTAGTGTTTATCGTATAATGATATCGCATCTTTTAATTGAATAGAATATAATGGACAACTTACTCGATAATTTATAGCAAAAGTAGAAACTTGAAAACACATTGCGATTATGTATACAGTACTATTAATTAAATTTGCCTCAAACGGCTCTTCCTCAATACTGTCATTATCGTCTAATGAATTCACTTCATTGGTAGTGTTAAAAATGGTTGCCAATTTATCATCCCTGTAAAAGAAGTAATTTGAAGAACATGGTCAAATGATTCCGACTAACACAACTTACTTTGGCGATAAAATCGTAGCTTCTTTCACCAAATAAACGAGACAGATGAAATGTACAGCAAATTGCAATAATACAGTTGCAATGGTGTACAAATTAAAGATATTTGGTAGCGGTCTTTGCTGCGAAAGAGTTTTTAACGGTTTTGATCGTGAGATAAAAAGGAAACATGCCGCCAGAAGGACGCCCTGCAAAGTCGCCTGCGCGTCACTAAATTTGATTCCATCTAGATACAACACTGACTGGCTGTAGGCGAGTATCAGTGCATTCAACGCCAGTATTTTGAACATCTGCAGGGTGGTGACCAGTGTGCAGCGTCCCTGCTTGATCACGTGACATACTGCAAGTATACAAATACGTTATTAAATATTTCCGAGGAATAAATAAATTCAATAATATCCCGTGATCCTTACTGCATTGAATGGATGACATTTTGCTGGTAAAGGGAGCCGCGATAGAAGCGTCGCCGAGTTTCACGATCACGGGTGGCTCTTGTACTTCGTTATCAATATCCTTTAGGAACTTCTGCAGCTTTGCACGAGACCCCGCCGATGTCATTCTCGAATTATTTCTTGGCCCGTTGTTTATGAGCGGCATCAAATTATCGTTCTTTGGATCT